TTTAGTAGAGACGGGGTTTCACCATGTTGACCAGGATGGTCTCGATCTCTTGACCTCGTGATCCACCCGCCTCGGCCTCCCAAAGTGCTGGGATTACAGGCTTGAGCCACCGTGCCCGGCCCAATAATAATTTCTTCATTATATCCCACCATGTAGTAAGAACCTGCTTTGGGCAAGTTTGCCCCTGTGGGAACTAAAAAGATGTAGCTCTGCTCCTTAAATGTGTGTTTTTCTGAGACAGAGTCTCACCCTGATGCCCAGGCTGGAGGGCAATGGCTCGATCTCCACTCACTGCAACCTCCGTCTCCCAGCTTCCAGCAATTCTCCTGCCTCAGCCTCCTGAGTAGCTGGGATTACAGGTGTGTGCCATCACACCCAGTTAATTTTCTGTATCTGCAGTAGTGACGAGGTTTCACCATGTTGGCCAGGCTGGTCTCGAACTCCTGACCTCATGATCTGCCCACCTTGACTTCCCAAAGTGCTGGGATTAGACATGAGCCACCACGCCCGGCCTGACCTTTGTACTTTTGTTGATGACTATAATTTCAAGACTTCAAAAAGCAAGGTCTAGCAGAACTGGAACTAAGTGTTTCAGGGAAATGACACTTAAGAATGTCTGCCAAGGTGATGAAACGTCCCACCACGCTCTGATCCACAATGCTAATGGGCCGCTTTAATGGAGAGCTCAGTGGCTGTTAATGAAGGTTACAAACAGGCTGTTTTGAAAGCCTGTTTTAAAAGCCTGTCCAATAAAGATGGACAAAAGATTTCCCAGGGGAAGTACTGGGAAAATTTCTTTTCCTGCTAGATGAAATCAATGAGCCCACATTATTGAAAATCCAGGAAGAACCAGGGCCTGGGGTCTGGGAAGCTAAAAAGCACAGCAAATGGGTTGTGTGGCTGGCAGAGCTGGATTTGAGACACATGCCCCAGTGCAGACAGGAGCTGCACAGCATACCTGTGAAAATGTGTGGCTCTTGCACTGAGGATGTTTTCCTGCTGGTGTCTTCGCCAGAGTCTATTCCATGTGTGGAAGGCAGCAGGCAGGGCTCTCTGCTGGAAATGCCCATCTGCTCTGGCCTGTAGCAGCTAAAGTAAAACAATTAAATGACCTTTGTAACCTTTGTATTTAACTTTTTATTTTTTTTAAACATGACCTTTCAGAGTCACACTGTTGTGGGAGGACTGCTTCCTATATAATAAAACTAAGAAAAAGATGAAAATTATTATCTTTGCCACGTGCTAGATGAAAAATGAAAACATTGTTCACTTAAATATTGGTTAAACATTTTTATACACACACACATTCATTCATTCTCTCTCTCTCCTCCCCTTGGCTTAGGCATTCATATCCATTACCTGTTTCACTGTCTGTTAACCTGCATTTGACTCAGTGCTATGTACGACGTTTTTGAACCTAAATAATGTATTAGTCCTTTGTCATGTGTTATATATCTAAATATTTTCCCCACCCCATATCTTTTGATTTTATTCATATTGTCAGATTCTTTAGTTTTTATGTAATTATGAAAGTCTACTATTTTACTGATGTATCAGTAGGAAGACAGACAATGGACATAAGAATATACTGTATATGCCTCCATAATCCAAAACTTTGGAGGGAAAAGCACATCTGCATGTGCGGCAGTTTTAAAAACATGACTGCAAATTCTTTGATCCTCCTTCACTGAGAAGTGATCTATGTTCCCTCCCCTGGAATCTGGCTAGGATACCGACTGCTTTGACCAATAGAGCATGGTAAAAGTGACACTCTGTGACTTCTGAGGCTATACAGTCATAGAGCTTCTGACTTTTCACTGGCACACTCATTATGAAGCCCTGTTTCTGACTACCCCAAGGCCACCATGTTGTAGGAAGCCCAAAACTCACAGAGAGGTCATATACAAGTTATTTGGTTAACACTCCCAATTAAGCCCAGTCTTTGAGTCGTTCTAGTCCAGGATCTAGACGTGTGAAGAAACATCTAGATGAATCTAATCCTTTGTCATTAGAATCTTTTCAGCTGAGGCTAACCTTGGAACAGAAACCAACCATTCCCATTATGCCCTGTCTCAATTTTTGAGAATCTTTAGAGCATAATAGAATGGTTGTCTTATACCACTGAGTTTGGGGTGATTTTTTACATAGCAATAGATAATTGGATCAGTATGCATATGTATGTGTATGTGAATAGATGGGTACATACACTCCCACCCACACAGAGGAAGAGAGACACCAGGTTTACTCACCAAATGTCACGAATGTTTTTATTTTTTCTTCTTTATGTCTTTTTGCACTTCCTAAGCTTTCTATAATATCTATACATTGCTTTTCTTTCTACTTTTTATTATGGGCATTTTCAAATGTAAACAAAAGCAGAAGCCAACAGTATAATGAATACCCATGACCCTACCATCCAGCTTTAGCAGTTAGCAAACAATTCGCTATTCTGCACAGAGCCATCCCTTGGTATTCGTGGGTGATTTGTTCCAGGACCCCTCTCAGATACCAAAATCTATGGATACTTAAGTCCCTTATATAAAATGGCATAGCAGGCCGGGAACAGTGGCTCATGCCTATAATCCCAGCACTTTGGGAGGCTGAGGTAGGCTCAGGAGTTTGAGACCAGCCTGGGTAACATGGCAACACCCCATCTCTACCAAAAAAAAAAAAAAATTAGCCAGGCATGGGGGCTTGCACCTGCAGTCCCAGCTACGTGGGAGGCTGGGGCAGGAGAACTACGTGAGCCTGCGGATGAGGAGGCTGCAGTGAGCCAAGATCATGCCACTATACACCAGCCTGGGTGACAGAGAGACATCTTGTCTTAAAAAAAAATAAAAATAAAAATAAAAATAAAAAACCACCAACAAACAACAAAAACAAAAAAAATAAATTGATGTGGCATCTGCATATAACCTATGCAATCTCACTGTACCTATCTCTAGATTCCTTAGAATACCTAATACACTGCTGGGCATGGTGACTCAAGCCTGTAATCCCAGCACTTTGGGAGGCCAAGGCGGGTGGATCACGAGGTCAAGAGATCAAGACCATCCTGGGCAACATGGTGAAACCCCGTCTCCACTAAAAATACAAAACATTAGCTGGGCATGGTGGGACGTGCCTGTAATCCCAGCTACTCAGGAGGTTGAGGCAGGAGAATTGCGTGAACCCAGGAGGCGGAGGTTGCGGTGAGCCGAGATCACGCCATTGCACTCCAGCCTGGGTAACAAGAGTGAAACTCCGTCTCAAAAAAGAATACCTAATACAATATAAATGCTATGTAAACAGTTGTTATTGTTTAGGGACTAATGACAAGAAAAAAAAGTCTATATATGTTCAGTACAGACACAACCATTCTTTTTTTCTCTGAATATTTTTTTATCCATGGTTGGTTGAATCCATGGATGTAGAATCCACAGATACAAAGGCTGACTGTATGTTACTTTTTTTTTTTTTTTTTTTTTTTGAGTCGGAGTTTC